GCCAAAATTATATTCTTTAATACATCTTCGAATTCTTGACTATCTTTAGCATTTGTAGCTTCTGCAACACCACCCAGGCCCCCAAATTTGAGAGAACCATTCAAAAATACTCGGAAGTTATTTTGTGGGGTCATAAAAAGATCCATCATTGCTTTGTCCAATCTGTCTTTCGACTCAGAAAACATATCCAGTGGATCATATCCGCTTATATATGATATCTGAAAAAAGGATGGTAAAGGACCCCAATTATGAGAAACACAATGAAGTTAAGAGCGGTACCGCATCATTAAAACTATAACAATGGACTTAAGATGGCCAACTGAAAAAATAAACACAAAAATGTGCTTTAAATGTACAAAATACATATAATTGGCAAAATATAATACTCCCTCGGTCCCGCTATCTTTGAGACATGGAAGAGTGACACTAAAATTAAGAAAAGTAAGGTTGTGTGGTTGACATCGATGTTCAAAAGTATGATAAAGTATGAATGAATGTGGACCACACAAATATAACCAAAGATGGAATGAGACAAAAATGGTAAAAGGGATAAAAACAGTGGGACGGAGGTAGAAGTTATGTTCAGTGTTGATATAGTCAATACCTTCCCCTGATCAACCTTAAGAGCCTGGTGCATTTTGAAACGACTAATTCTCCTTTTAACAGCATTACTTCCTTTAATAAATTCTGACTGTGGAAGGAATCCACATTTCGGCTGCGTCCAGGGAAATCGAAAAAATGCAAGGTAATTATACCCTAGTAAAGGAATGAAGAAAACAAAAACTATACTCATAATAAGGTTTACAAAGGTGAACAAAAAAATAATGCACCTTTACTTCAACACATATGCACAGTTCCTCTTCAGGTGTAACTGAAAGGAAGATAAATGCGTGTTATTCTTAGGATCGGACACAGATCGAGACATATATAATAAACAAAGATATTCCATCATTTTGATACTAACTTACAGTGACAGTCCAAATGCAATCTTTATATTACAAGAGCATAAACTGAGCCATTTTATTCCCCAGATGCATATTGCTTAGATTTGTGAAGTCAAATATAGGTACAATTGTATAACAATATTATACAATGTATGACCAATGCAAATTTAAACTTCGCATTGTTTCTGCACTTCATCTTTGAAGATTAATTTTGGTAGTTATTATTCTAGTACTACGCAATTTTTAGCATACCTCCAAGGGCTTGTTAATAAGTAGCATTAGTTCAATACCACATCATGATCACAAAAGGACAACAAAAAGGTACTATTACCATGGGGGAATGTTGAATGATCAGACATAAGTATAGCAGAATCACTCAGGAGATTAACTTTAGCAGCATCTATCCGCCAAGGGGGGCGTACCTGAAGAGCATTCTTTTCAACTGCCTCCAAAAATTCTTTGGATACAAGGATGCAAACCTGACAATCCATAGAACAGAAAAGCATACACATTTAATCATGCTATTGAACACTGCAAATCCAATACGGCATCAACTTCAACAAATTAATTCCAACTAGTTGGGGTTGGTGGCATTAAACCTAAAGAGCTAATTAATTGTTTTATATTTGTTGACACTTTAAAATCATGAAACCAAGTATAACAAAAATGTTTTACGTTGGATGCCTGTCATGTCTCAATCTTCATACAAAGGAATAATGAGATAAATTTCTAAAACCATCATAATTATAGGTAGTTTACATACACATAGAAAATGCCATGGGTTGTGCAATGAATACGTATAGAACATTATAACCTTTTACTAGCAATTCAGAATAGGGAACGGTATTCGCAAAGATGGATCGCAATGGATGTTATAGTGTTGTTCAAACCAAATAATGTTAAAAATCATAACAAGAGTCATAAATGTTGGCACTTGCATGCCCCAGCATCAACATGTTTAGGACCCAATAATGGACCCATTACATGCTGGGCAAAAAAGTGCCCTGCAATTTCCCTAGTGGGGGCAGATACAAGCTCTTTGACATCTTTCCAAAGATGTCTTTCAGGAATGGTTAAGCTCGAATGACCAGTTCTATTTTCAGACCCATTTGCTCGATCCTTTTGAATCCTCAAAACTTTGCCAACCTAAAGAAAGGGAAAATTTGCGGCATATATATGTTAGATAGTCTTGTGTGCAGAATAGAGAAGGATCATAATATCAACACTTTCAAATGAACGAATAATTCAAAAAAAGATAGACTATAAAATCTATACAATCTACCTGCAATAATAATAATAATAATAATAATAATAATAATAATAATAATAATAACAATAATAATAACAACAACAACAACAACAATAATAATAGAATTTCTGGAGAGATTAAATGAACTCTTTAATTTTCAGTTTTTCACATAAGCACTAACTCAATCTATATCTCTATGAATATATCAAAGTCCTATTTTAAGTCAGAAACTTCCTCTGTCACGGTGTGTTTGTCCATTTGGTTCATGTGCAAAAGCAAGTGGATGAACATAACGGGATGGGAGAGTACTCCTTTTCTATCAGTAAACCATTACGAAACGTACAAATTGAGGAGATCTTCCGCAATAGAAAAGAACTAAATTGGCTGCTCCTTCTCCCCTGTAAGACCATTCCATTGCATCTTGCGCACCCAAAGCCACCTCCATTCCTTTTTCAAAATAAGTATAAACTAATATGCATAAATAAATAATCAAAAGTTTTGGGTTGCAACCTTGCAATGTAAACATGGTTAATCAATTTACCTAAGATTACAAATGCATGAAGAATGGGGTTGAGGTTTACGGTTAAGTACAGACCAACCCTCAGTTTTGTCCTAGCTGGATATCAGAAACACCAAGGAGACGCCTGTTTGCATGTGGCGTGTCCGGCAATTTTGTATAGAAGTGTGGAAGGTTAGACACAAATTCAACAAGTAATACCACTAACTAGCAAACTAAATATTCAGAAACAAATCACGAACACTCAAAATTCTTTAAAGTATTGCCACCATGTTTTTATTCCTAAAATAATGTGTACTACTCCCGTCGTCCCATAAACATTGTCCCATTGTGGATAAAGAAACCTGGCTGAAGTTATGCTAAAAATAGATTTACATGTTTATAAACTACTTCAAAAACTCTATAACACAAAAGGGGACATGACTTAATCATTTAAAATGCAATCAGGTAAAGAAAGAAGAATTAGTTTGCCTGTGTTGGAAATTTATTTATTGGAAATCTCATCAATACTTGAGAGTCACTAACTGAACATTTCATAATCTAGTGTTTCAAATTCACAGAACATAGTTTATAAATAATGCAAGCTCAAAATTCTTAAACAAAGTATTCAATTCATCAAATTTACAAATTTAAACCCTTTGAAGTCCTTTGGCACATTGCACTTTCAAAAGATAATTCTGAAAAGTGAAACGCCTCCTTTCGCGATCTGTGGGTGATAAAGCACCGAAATGGTTAGCCGCTTGCAATAACTCAAAGCGTGAGAATGGTGGCAGTCCCCTCGCCTGTGAGGTTTCAAAAAAAAAAACAGAAAGTACACTCAATTGCATACATAATTTCATTTATGCACTTACAAATTTATTTACTCCTCCCTCCTTATAAAAATTCTTTGCAATTTTATGTTTGTGAACGAATTTTACAAATTCTGACTATATCTAGATTTATAATGTACATTTAAGAAAATTTAGATTTATTTCAATATATAGTTTTGATAAATCAAATTTTTTGTAATATTTATTTATTTGAAATTATATATATATATATTAATAATCAAAGTATATTTATTTAAATGTTTGTTCTCTTTACTTATTTTATTTAATCATTAATTAAAATAATATAATTTTTTTGTTATTTTTACTTATTTTGATGAACTTTTGTATGAAATTATGTACTCCGTATCATTATTTAAATAAATTTGATTGAAAATTAAATAAGTGAACCCTCATTATCCGTAAAGTGATGATTACTTTTGGATGCAAGAAGAATCAATTGTTTGGTTTGATCAAATGATCAATAAGAGTATTACATTGCAAGTATAAAATGCATCTTGCACTTGATAGGGTCAAGTTTTCATACTTTGCCACTTTGAAAGTGATTTATTATAGCATCATCGCTAATGGTAACGAAAATTACACTTTATGTATGTCACTAGAGAATGATATAACCAGTGGTCACAAATTTTGTTTCAAACTTTATTGTTCACAAACATTCAATTCATGACTAAAAAACACGGTAAACAGTAAACACTAGCTACTCGTAGAAGTAAATCTAACTTTATTTGAGTAAAAAGATGGTAATATCTAATATGTCGCAGACTTCTTTGTAGAATCTATTTTCATAGATAAATCAAAAAGCCCCTTCGAATCTACATTTTTTCGCTGCAATTTAGGAAAATTTCATAATTTTGGTGTTGGAACTGATACAATTTGATAATAATGGATCTTATTATATAATGAAAGTTATTACATCCCTATACATAGAGATTACAAGAGAGAATCTAAATCCTAGTAGAATAAGAATTATAGTAACAAACTAACAATACAATAAAAAAAATTACGGAGTAATAGAATAAGGTAATTAATAATAATTTTTTATTCATATTTAGGAACAAACTTTTAGCCTCGGATGATAATCAATAATTCTCTTTCTTAGCCTCGAATGTTCCTATTATAAATTTAAAGGTGAGGAAGCATTTGAATTCAAAATTGACCGATTATTTCGAGAAACCTTAACCCAAACATTTAACACACTAACAATTCACAACTCACAAATTCATATCCATATAGATTTATACTTATATGGACAAAGCACGATAAATTATCATCAAATTAATCAATACTTTTAAAAAAAACATGGAGATTCGGGGAATCTGAAAATCTGGATAAATAAATAAAAAATACCTGGCTGGCAGCGGCTAGAAGTAGCTGACGGAGCGTCGGAGTGGTGGAGCAAGAACGGGCGTCGGAGAGGCGGCGGGTTGACAATTTAACCGTTGCTAATATATGAGTGAGGAATACTCTGTAGCTGTGCGCATAAAAAAGGACTCCTGGGGAAAAAAATCTAGTCCCCCATTATCCGGGTATCAAGCATTTATTCTACGGAATACACCCTTTTTATCTTTTTGAAATTATTTGAATCACTATTACTCCCTCGTAGAGCTTGCAAATCACTCGGTCAAGTTGAGTTCGAGTTTGATCAATTTAGGTTCGAGTCAATTATGAAGTGTGTTGAAAACTGTATGTTCATGATCTAAAGTCATGAGATTCAGATCAACGAACAGGTAATGAATTTGATTTTTAAAATTTTTAAATTCATATTAACATTTGCATTTTACATTAAATAAATTTAAAATATAAAAAATATATATTAAATCTATTAGATTATTTTATATTAAATTCTGAAGTATATTTAAATCAATATAAAAAATTTAAAAAGGCATAATTTTTTTAAAAAAGTAAGATAAGTATGCAATATCATTAAACTTTTATCCCGAAATATAAATTTAAGCACTAAAACGAGTTGTAAGAATATATATATATATATATATATATATATATATATATATATATATATATATATACACACACATATATATATACATACATACATATATATATATATATATATATATATATAGGCGAGGCTATAGGGACACTCATTTCGGATGTCATATTACGACATCGATCTAAGTTATGGCCCTTCGAGGTACCGTTTAAAAATATTGATAGTTCCTAATTCCCTGACCTCCACGGCCTGAACTCCCCCCCCCCCCCCTCCCTTCAACTCTAATGCTACCTTCGTCATTATTTATATTGTTTATTTTGTTTTACGATGTTTGACTAACTATTTTTATACCATTTTATTATATGAAAAATGGTGTAGAATTACGTATTAAATAACTACATCAAAAATTTTACAAAACTAGTGGTGACATGAGAATTTTATTTTATCAAATCACTATTAAAAAAAGAGAAAAAAGTAAACATTTGACCATGTAAGTAATAAACAAACAATTTAATTTGAGATAGAGGGGCCGGGGTGGAAAAAACACTCATGATATATTTACATATTTATTTCATTTGTGCCTGATTCTCATCTCTCCATTTTTTTTATTTTAAACGAAATATCACTATGATAAACAAATGGTTTTTAAAAATATATAATGAAAGATCACCATTCAATTCTAATAAATACTATTGATGCCTACCAAGCACACAATTTCTTGGGACTTCTAATTTTCTTATGTGCCAACTTTTCTCCTTATCCACAATGTATATATGCAAACAAACAATGGCTTACTATATTGTGAAGTTGTGACTTATCATAAATGCACGGATCATACCATTATTTGACAAATCATTGATAAGCTTATATTGTTTTTAATTTTACGGAGTATTTTTTTAAATAATCAACTTTAATAGGAGTAAAACATTGAGAGAATATTATACAGAGTAATAAGAATATTATATTTTTATCCTTAAAGTAAGAGTAGTTCGCACCGTGGTAATGTATGCATGTGCATTGTATATAGATATTTCACAATACTTTTTGGTAATTTATATGTCATAATTGTCACTGCATATGCATTCTAACTTATATTTCGAAATTAAGAATATGAAAATCTTATTTAGTATATCTTCAATATTTTATTCTTACTTTAATTTTTCCCTTTTATTATTTATATATGTAAGGCAGGAACTAAATATTAAAAAAATAATGAACTTCATCCAGATGGCCTCTCAGAACCGATGCTAGATTGAGATTAATGATGCATAACAGTCTCTTTTTTTTTCTTCTCTGATCTTTTTCACGTTTTTTAATATGGAAAATTTGTATTCTATTTCTTCTTTTTTAAGCAATCTTCTTTAATTTATCTTCTAATTAAACTTCGAGCTAGCATACCTTTTCTTAATTAATTTCTTAATCACTAGGCCAATCAAAACGGAAGAGTCGAGAATGAAAAGATGGTAAAAGAAGTCAAAGATTTGAGTGGTTAAAAGTAGCAATTCGTAATCTTTTGCAGAATAAAAATTTTTAAGAACTAATATCAACTCTGCTAACTCAAATGGAGTTGTGTTGTTATAACTTATCTACATATAAAATGAAATTCTTTATTCTTTGATGTTTTCTTTGTTTCTTTTTGTCAGCCATCATTTCAATTATGGACTTTATCATCTCACTTTCGTATTTGTCTAATAAATTTTGATCCTTAATTAAATAAAATTTAATTAAATAAAATTGATATCTTATTTTTAATTCAAAATTAATTTTATTTTATTTACTTATAAAATATTTTTTAACAAATTATTTTATCAAATTAATCTATTACATAAATTTTATTTAATCATATGTTAAAGGTTGAACGTGAAAATTGCACAAATATTCAGAGACAAAGTCACATAGGTAGTATTGAATATTATATTCAGAGTACTACCTCCATTCCCGAGTACTTGTCAATTTTTTATTTTTTTCAGTTAACTATTTTCAACATTTGACTTTTACTTAAGTAAAAGTATATATTGTATATTATTTAGATAAAATAATATTTTAAAAAATATTTTATATAATGAATCTAATAAAATAAATTTTGTATCAATAGCTAATATCATTTTTATTTAATTTAAAGTTAAAAATTAATAATTTTTACTAAAAAGTCAAAAGTAGACAAAAATACTGAAGAACGAGGAGAGTAATAATGGAATTATTATATTACATAAAAAGTAATGGAGTATATGACAGAATATATATATATATATATATATAAGGAGGTACAAATTAAATACCGAGCACTACAAAAAATGGCAAAAATAACTTTTGTAAGTTTTTATCTACTTTCCAACATAGTACTCCATATTATAGACACAATTATACATAACACCCAATTTTTAACTTTGAGCATCAATTTTGCAAGCTTAACCAAATACTCCCTCCGTCCTATATCTTTCTTCTCGTTGCGCAAAACGAAGAAAAATCCCAAATTTTTTCAATTTATTTTATTTAAATATTGGTATAGAAATAAAAAATAAAACATACATATTTAAAAACTACATCAAAAGTTCAACAAAACAAGTGGTGGCAAAAATATTTTATTTTATCATATAGGCCATGAAAAAACACAAATAAATATAAATTCCCGTGAAGTTTGAATAGTGCTCTGGGAAAAAAAATTTAGAACGGAGGGAGTACTATATAATCATGTCTTGAATGTTGTCGTTGTCTGCTATAAGTCTAGACAAGTCACTCTACAAGCTTTTACGCAAAAATAACTATGTAAAAGTCATAAAATTTCATTCCTAATAAATTATTGCTTAAATATTGTTTTCAATTACATATAATAATGAGAAGAAAATATTTCAAAGAATTTGGAGACTTGGAGTTATACTTGATATACTCCAAGAAATAGACAAAGAATTTCTCTTAGACAAACACTAGAACAAGTGATGGAACTTCTACCCAAGTTGTTTGCAAGGTTAATTTGGACATCTCAATTTCAACTTTGGTCTTAATCTTGGGAGTTGAAATTTGTGGCCCTATAGACCATAGGCGGCCTATGTGTTTCTAGCAACAAAGAAACTAACGAAGAAAACAGAAAATCCAAATCAGATCGGTAACTATGCCTCCGTGTCATTACTTGTGTAATTGTGTTGTCCAATATGTCAAAGTCCATTTTGACTCACTACAACACAAAGATAATACGTAAAAACTACTAGTAAAATACTCCGTATTATAGAGTAAAATGTTTAATCATTTTGGTTCCCATGATTCAATTTTAGATGATTTGATATTCATGATGATTTGATATTCATACGATGTTCCATTTGAAAAATTAATGATTCCTCCACTCTAACTCCAGGTAAACTCCTTCCCCAGTTCGTTCTGAACATATCCGCACCCCCATCAATTATATACTACAAGATTTAGTTGACTTTGGAATAAAATTCATATGTCGTAAGTTCAAATACATTTTCTGTAGAAAATGTCACTCACATTGCAATTCAAACATGTAATTTTGATACTGTAGAAAACAAATCTTGTTGGAGAAGATTTGAATAATGCGGTCACTAGAATGAGGAGCGATTTCGTTAATTACAATTTGTAAATGCTTTAACAATATTGAGAAAATAAACCTCTAATTCAGCCATATTCCCGTTTTCTAAGGTTCGCCTAGGACCTTCTCAATTTTGAACTGCTCTTTATTTTGCCGGATGAATTTCTCGATTCTGCGCCGGAACTCCTCGCTGTTGAGATCTTCTACGGTGTCAACCGCCGACATTGCTCGCGCTTCGACGGAATTGGTGACTTCTCGGCGCACCTCCGTCACCTTCCGCCGGAGTTCTCTCGGGTCCTTCAACGCGATAGCTTGCTTCAGATTCTCGGACTGAGTCCTCCGGAACTTCTCGATTCGTTTCGCGGCCGTCTTCATCGCTGTTGAAATCTCAGAACATTGCGGCTCCTGAACCGCGATCTCCGAGCAGACGATCTGCTTTTCCTCATCTCCGACGGCCTCCGGATGCGTGGATGCCTCGGGGGAGGGGATCGGCGGTTGAGACTCACCGCGACTGATGATTTCCTCGCAGTCGTCTCCGCGGAGATCGAAGACGACGGAGTTGCAACCGACGTCTGTCTGGCGGCAGAGAAGGAAGAGGGAAACTATAATGGCGTTTCCGATGACGAACACCACGTGAGGATTGCAGGCGTAAGTCCACAACTCAACCAAACAGACGCCGGAGAGTTTCACAACGCCAGGAACTCGAGTACAGGACCAGGAAATCAACATCAGAGCGACGATCAGTTCGAGATACTGCACCGTCTTCGTCATCCTCCGGAACCGATTGAATCTCGCAATCGCATCGGCCTTCTCGAATTTGACGGCGTCAAACACTTCCAATTCCATTCCTCCTCGATCGATTCACCTGGAAATGCAGGAATCCAATCCCTAAACCTAACCGTCCCAATACAAATTCAAAAAAAAACAGACAATTTTGAATTTCCCCCGTCAACGAGCGATCAAATCAGAAAATTTTCTGGAATCGGAGGATTCAACAGATTATTCAGAAGGATAGGAAAAAAATC